ATCAAAAAAACACAAGAGGTAAAAAAGTTTCTAAACAAACTAAACTATCCAATTTTTTTTTTGCATGTGTTTGATAAGATTTTTCTTTAAATGTCGTTAACAAGAATGACAAGGGTAGTTTATTTCAACCCCTTCCACTCATTTTAAAAAAGTTAAAAAATTACCAGAAAGTTTGTTTTCATAACAGTAATGCTTCCATAAAATTTCATTAGTCTATCTCTTTTCGTTAAAAAATAAAAACATTATTTTTCCGCCATCTTTGTACCGCGATATCTCCGTAATGGTTGACTTTTGACCCAACGTTTATGAAGATACCCTTTATTTTGAACAAGGAATCAGTCCCTGAAGTTTTTCGCATTTGATTTGAAACACCCTGTATATCTCATACACCTACCTATGTCTAATAGTTTTCGAGATAAAAAATCAAACGTCAACTATGTAAATCACCCTGTATATTAACGCAGTTATTTTATCCATTTGAATAAGAAGACTAAGGAAGGAACATATCAAAAATCTTAGGTACACCGCGATGGGCCTCAAATATGGCCGACTTAAATTCCGGTTAATCAGTGTCGTTCTAATTTTATTTAAAAAATGTAAAATTATGATGTAGGGTAGACGTGGGGTAAACTCAATAATTTGTTGTTTTATTTTACGTTGTGAATAAATGTTGGTAGTTATTAAAATTGTTATAAAAATATATAATTCTAATAAAAATATATAAGTTATAATAAGTATTTATTAACACAAACATCCGATACGCTACTGAAGCAGGTAAGTCAAATTAACGTATCTAAATTCTTTGACATCTAATCTTTGACAAGTAATAAATAAAAGCTAAAATGCAAGAAAAATATATAATTTAGTTAATTTAAGTGAATTTCATAAATGATCGGTTTACTACACGTATGTATATTATATAGTCACTTACTAGCGAAAAGTTGTTCCATTATTTCACTCGATTTTTGCCGAGATCTACCGCACGCTACACCCAACTATTTTAGAGTCTTTTTCGATAAATCGCGATAGTGTCACTGTTAATTTAACTTCTGCCATAATTTCCATCTAGATTTACTACCTTTATACAACTATCAGTAGTGGAATAAATAATAAATAACATAAAATAAGCTCCGTAACCACAAAATTTCAAATCAAATTCAAATGTGTCAAATGAATCGTCAAACAGAACTGTCAAGGATCCCCACCCTAGAGTGCTTTTTCCGCCCACCATGCATGAATACATGGATAGCATTATGCTCCTTCCTTAGTCTTCTTATTCAAAGTTTTATCCCTTAATATTTGCTTAAACAAAGGAAATTTTTGTTAATGTATAATAATTATATCACTGACTTTTGTCTAATATGAATAAAGAAGTGTATATCATCACAACACAAATTATGAACAACTAAAAAACAGTACATTAACATAACCTACAAAATTGGCAGTTTTTTAATAATTTCAATATATTTTTTTTGTATTATTCTTTTAAAGACAATTTTTTATTCATTTTTTAATATTCCTTTTCACCACATTAAAGAGAGAGATACACACTATAAAATTCAATAAACTTCAAATATACACACTGAATAGAACATGTCACTGTTAACGTTAGACCCTGTGGTTAATATATAGTTGTTATTTATTTTTTTAGTTCTTTATATTAACATACACAACACGCATTTGTTTTTTTGTAATGTTATCAAAAACCGTCTACTTGACTATTATTAAAAAATAGTTATAATTTAATTTTTATTTATGTACCTATGAATTTGTTTTTGTTAATAGGAAATAATGTTATGCAGAAATTAATAATTGATTGTTTAACATAAATTTTGGATTTCGTAAGTACAATAAATTAAAACTAAATATTTAATATTGGTTTAGTATCAAATAATATTGCGGTTGTGATAGATTTATTGATAGATATTATTAGGTATAAATTAAACAGTATAAATTAGTAATTTTATAAGCCAAAACATACTATACAGGGTTGTTCACCACATACGAAACGGCGTATTGTAGCTAAACGATTCGAGTTTTAAAAATTGTAAGTTTTGGATTTGTTGAAGGACTGTTAGAGCTACAACTTAAAAATAACATTACAACATACAGAGTGTCCCAAATAAGTAAAAAATATTAAGTTGTATTTGTTTAAATGGAACACCCTGTATATTATTCTATTTTTAGATTCTACGATTGAAATAAAGGTAAATTTGATTAAGGTTTATCACACTTAAACCTTACTGTTTTTGAAATATTTTTAATTTTGTGAAATTGCAGTAAAAAAATTAAGGCTTTATTTTCCAAGGGTATCAAAGTTTCTACTAAAGATTATTTATTGATCAGATATTGTGATGCAATAATAAAAATTATACTACCTTATACAGAGTGTCCAAAAAATTATATTAAATTATTATTAGCTTTAAATGGCAATAACTTGTTTAATTTAAATGGAACACCCTGTATATTTTACGTGAATCAGATGCACAATTTAATTGTCTATCAAATTGTATCATACCATTTTTTACCTATATCTTCAAGTTTCCGTAAAAAATGCATTTTATTATAAGTTAGACCTCATTTATTACTATACCTATGGAATATTGAAATTTTAGATTTTGTTTTAAAGCAATATAATATACAAAATGTATAGGTGATAGAAATAATAATATTGCAAGCCCATTTGTTTAAAAAAAGAAAACTATTTAAATTTTTGTAAAAGAGTATACTACCAATTAAATATACCACCATTATTTCCGCCCAAAAATTAGTTAATTACATATTTAATTGTTTTAATTAATAAATTCTAAATAAATGTGGATTTGACTCAGAGAAATCAATATAATAATAAGTTATGAAAATGAACAATCATTAGCGTAACTAGCAATTCATTCTGGGGGGCCTGGGGGCCTGGGGTTGAGCCCAGAGGGGGCCTAGGGCTTTTGTTTTTTAAAAAGTGAAGAATAATTTAAAAAAACACATTTTCTGAATAAAACAACTACATGAATTGCTCTATCAACAAACTTCATAGACTTGGTTATCAAACCCGTGTTCCCATAGATTATTTAAGTACCTACAAATTTTCTAAAAAAAATAAAAATTAACACATTTTTTGAACACAACAAAATAATATTAACTAAACAAAACTAGAAAACCACATTTTTACTACATCACAAGCAAATAAAAATTAATCCATAGCCAAGAGTCATAATTTAAGATTTCTCTGGGGGGGTGCCCAGCAGAACCTGGGGGGGGAGGGTTTGGTTTGGTTTGATTTTTGGGATCAGGTATCCAACGACGTTGGATACCTACGTTTGCTAGCAGCCTAATTTAGTACAAACTGCAACGTTGTTTAAAATCCTAATTCACAGAAATACAAAACTATAATAATATGGCGTCTTTAAAAGTTGCGTTTTTTCCTAAATTGGGATAATTATAGTAAAAAAAAATATTTTTACAATTTAGTTAGAGACATATGCCAGATGGCAGTAAAGGAAAACAAAACAAAGGTATTTAAGTATGGAGGATGTTTGAAGATCATAATTATTGAAACACTTTAACCAACTCTGTAATTCGTTACCCAAGGCAAAAAAGTTAAACGCAAACAACTTTATTGTTAAATGTATTGTTTCTACTTTGAAAAATACTAATGGAATAATGGGCCTTAAAATTAAAGAAGTTTTTTTTTAGTAAAATGAGAATAATTTATTCGCAGTTGAAAAAAAAATTGTTGTTTAGGGTCAAATATTTCAAGTTAATGTATTCAAAAAGCAGGAATTGCTATTTTAGGAACGAAACATTTTCTTATTCAACAACATGGCAGCTTTCACTTTGTTGTTTTGGAGATTAAGATGGAGTAGTTCGAGTAGTCGCATACTGGACTAATAAAGTCGGAGTTCGGCCTTAACAGGTAGTATACTAGTCGCAAGATTGCCTAATATAGTCATCCTAGAGTCTAGCTTGTGCCACCCTCTATATTCTAAATAAACGAGGGAATGGATAAAGTATCGGTAATATGTCGATGTGTATTTGAATTTAGTTTTATATGTGCCTTTCTTACGTCCCATTTTAATTAAGTTTTTTTTTATATAAAAACAAAAACAGCCCTGAACTGTCTGACTGAACAAACAGTACAGTTGCAAAAAGGTAGTGGCTCGACGTCCTATCAACGTAAGAATAAGGGAATCTAAACAACGTTGGAATTAGTAAAACAGACGAGACGTTTGCATAACGTTGAAATAGGTCATAAAAGTGACGTCGGAAAACTCTTTATTGCCCAACATTGTAACTATGTTTTCCGAAAAACCTAAAGATCACTTAAACAAAAAAGGTTACAAGACAAAGTTTATTCGACGTCGCAGAAGTTTTTACTTTGTTGTAGCACTAGTTCAACGTCGGCACAACGTTACAACAACGTTTACATTTATTTTAATACCCAAGTTTACGGAGCTAACTATTTTTTGTAACTAATCCAACGTTGTGTTAAGTAAATATGTGGTCGCAAGTCGTGAAAATGCTACTTGGTGTCTAAATACAAATACAAAATTCAGTTTTTTAGTATTTAGAGCAATTATTATTATTCAATGTAAACAGTCAATTAATGTAGTTTGAATACTGAGATCATATTAATTGGTTCTCTTTAACACAAAATATTTAAACAGTTTTTTTAATGAAATAAGCAAACTATATCGACAATATTAGTATCTGTACTCTTTGACATTTGTTACATCTTTAATAATAATCTAAAATGTCAATATTCCATGGGTATAGTGATAAATGAGGTCTAAATTATAAGAAAATTAATTTTCTATCTCTCTGTTTTCAATAATAAAGTTACTGTCAAATTCCTGTAGATCTGTAGATATTTTAACTTTCTAGAAACTTTCTAATAACCAAGTAGACTGTTTTGAACAACACCATTTCAATCAGACATAACTACGTTAAATGTTCGTTAAATTATCTGTATAATAAATATATCTATCAGTTCAGATTCGTTTTTTCACTTTGATTTCAGACTAAGTCGCCGTCTAGTTCTATTTATAATTCCGTCATCTGTCAAACGGTGCTCTCGCGCTTGTTGGCCATCAGAGGAGTCTCTGGAGACGGTTCCTCGTCTGCCGTGCCTGTCAGCGGTTGCATCGGTATAGGGGGTTCCCTGAAATATCAATAAGGTTAGGCTGGACACACACAAAAAGAGTGTTAGTCAAAAACGGTTTTTGTTTTGGGCAAAATGGTATGTATATTGTTTTATTACCCAAGCAGCATTTGGACGTCGGGACAACGTTGTGTCACGCGACCAAACGTCGGGGCGCAACGTCGGCACAACCTCGTGCTAACCCTAGTCTGCACTAGTTTGGAGAATAATTTTTGGGTCGAAACGACGTTGGATACCGACGTTGGCTAAAAGCCTAATTTAGTAACAAATGGGGAAACGTTGTTTTTAAAATTTCTAATTTCACAGAAAATACAAAACTAATAGGGCGTCTAAGTCGCGTTTATCCTAAATTGGGATAATTATAGTAAAAATATTATTTTTATGATTTAGTTAGAGACATATGTCCGATGGCAGTGAAGGAAAAACAAAAGTATGTAAGTGTGGAGGGATGTTTGAGATAATAATTATTGAACACTTTAACCGACTCTGTAGTCTGTAACTCGCGTTACCCAAGGCAAAAAAGTTAAACGCAAACAGCTTAATTGATAACATGTATTGTTTCTTCTAACTTTGAAAAATACTAATGGCTTAAAATTAAAAGAAAGTTTTAAAAATTTTCTTAAATTTTTTTTTTAGTAAAATGAGAATAATTTATTCCGCGAGTCGGAAAAAAATTGTTTCCGCGTGTTTTTTAGGGTCAAATATTTCAAGTTAATCGATTCAAAAAGCAGGAATTGCTATTTTAGAACGAAAACATTTATCTTATTTATGTAACAACATGGCGGCTTTCATTTTGTTGTTTTGGAGATTAAGATGGAGTAGTCGAGTAGTCGCATACTGACTAATAAAGTCGCAGTACGGCCTTAACAGGTAGTATACTAGTCGCTAGATTGCCTAATTTAGTCGTCCTAGAGTCTAGCTTGTGCCCTCTATAATCTAAATAACGAGGGAGTGGATAAATTATCGGATTAAATATTACTGTCGATAGTATATTTAAATTTAGTTTTATATGTACTTTCTTATGTCCCATTTTATATTAATTTTTTTTATAAAAAACAAAAACAGCACTGAACTGTCTGACTGAACAGAACAATGAAGTGAAAATTTAAGATTTAAAGTTATGGTTCAATACAGTTGCAAAAAGGCTAGTGACTCGACGTCCTACCAACGTAAAAATAAGGAAATCTAAACAACGTTGGAATTTGTAAAACAGACGACGTTTGCATAACGTTGGAATAGGTCCTGAAACAGACGTCGGAAAACTCTATACTGTCCAACGTTGTAACTACGTTGTCCGAATCACCTAAAAGATCACTTAAGCAAAAAAGACAACGTTTATTCGACGTCGCAGAAGTCGAAAGTTTATTCGACGTCGTAGTAGCTTCTACTTTGCTGTAAGTACTAGTCCAACGTCGCCACAACGTTACCTAAAAACGTTAAATTTAAATTTTTAATATTTTTTTGTTAAAATACTTATAACTATTTTTTTGTAAATCTAATTCCAACGTTGTGTTTTTATAACATTAGTCCCCAGCAAGTCTGAAAATGCTACTTTGGGTAAGGAGTTAAAAATTATACCTTTTACCAGGAGTTGTACGTTTGAAGTTTACGTGGTGTAGGAATAGGAACATCCCACGAGAGTAAAACAGTCACAAAATAATATTTTCGACACACAATTTCAACACGAATTAGAATTAATAAGGTCAGAGTCGGACTCGCGCACGAAGGGCTCCGTACCATTCATTATCCATACAACATTAGACACTATATTATTATAATTTTTTTTTCCGATTTAGCTAAAATTTTGAATGCGCGTATAAGTAATTTAAAAAAAATGAAGAAACACATTACTAAAAATTGTATTAATCAATAATAAATATATCCAAAAAAATCCTTATGGGTTTTTCGCCACTGCACTGCAAGAAAAATCTACAAAATAAAATAGTTATTTTTTGTAAACACTTCTGGGCGTTAAACCTAAACGGACGCTGCTTGTCAGAAGTTGTGTTTACAGTAATAAAAATTTTTTTTTTTTTTAAGATAAAAAAATGTTAACGTTTCGAAAGTTTTTCTTTCCGTCGTTTGAAGCAAAAAATATAAAGAATCAAGAAAAACTATTTAAAATATTAATCATATATATTTACAATACGACCACACGCAGACATATTCCTACGAATCACATCATTGTGTTGAATATAAAATGGCTAGTTTTAAATTTCTTAGTTCATAGATTACTTAGTTTCCACTTTCAACGAAAGATATGAAATAGAAAGAGATTACATTAGAAATGTAGCTGAGTGTAATGGATATTCTCCTTCACTATTGATAAATTAATTAGAAAACGTAGGTATAGGTTAATGATTTCTTAAAATTCGACTTTTCAAGTGGAGAAGATACGTCTAAATATTTTTCGATACCGTTTGATAGAGAGTTATCCTGTGGTTCAAAAAGGAATTTTTAAGAATGTCAATTATAAACTTGTGTATAGTGCTAATAATAAATTACAACAATTATTAGGTAATCCAAAGATAAAACACCTCCACTGGAAAGGTCGGGTATTTATGAAATTTCTTGCAAAGATTGTAATCAGAACAGTTGGGCAAATCAGAAGATCAATATTAACTAGATTTAAAGAACATTTAGCTCAGATAAGAGTAGACCGATAAATCTTGCGTTGCCGAACATATTGTTGATAATGAACATTGTATAGATCTTAATAATTTCAAATTAATCAAACAAGTCTCAAATTACAGGCAATTAGATGCATAAGAAAGCATCAGAATTAATAAATGTAAAGATAGTATGAACAGAGTCAACGGTCCAATTCCTTCCGGGTTCTCTGTTCCTACTACTCTAGTGGCGGAAATCTAACTGTTACGCTCAGCTGGCTCTGACTCGGTTGGTTAGATTTTGCCACGCCCACTGGGTGCCCACTGAGCGAGTATAAACGCTCACCTTTGTAGATTGTACTTTAGTTTATAATCATCTGCTTACGATGCTAACATGGTTAGCGAAACGCGTCCAGTGTAAAAGCAATGGTGTATTGTGGTACTTAGTGTTTTTATTTTGCTGTAACACCAAAGGTTCCGAACCCTCAACTGTAAAATATTTAAATATTAATTTTTGATATCAATAAACGCTTTATTTTTTAAAACAGATACGTCTACAAGAAATCGTTGACGTTCTGTTAAAATGACATTATATATTAAGTTAAACTTCAAAATTAACAATTACTCCCTGATAATTACTTAATAAGGTAGGTAAAACCAAAAGCCCAAACTTTCTGTATGATTATTTTTAAATTTCACGTATGTTATGTTTATTGTAATGTTCTTTAAAAATCAAAAGAAACTGATTGCATTACATTACTAACATCTACAGATTCATGGAGCAATACATTTTATTTTTGATAGATTGAATTAAAAAGCCTCTTTTATTTTTTCATTTAGAGGCTATCGCTTCTTTCATTATAATTTTGGCGTTATTAAAATTTATTCTGTGCCCTCTGTGTCCCATAAATGCTGCCAAATCTTAGGTTGTGAAAATCTCCTTTCTTAAATAATCTTTATGTTCTTTAATTCTAACATTTAAGGGTCTAGATGTTTCACCAATGTAAAATTTATCGCATTCACAGGTTATTTGGTATATTACATTTATTTGTTTGTTGTTTTGTATTCATTGGTTTAGTATATGATAAAATTGATCTAAGTGTATTTTATGTTTTTGAAAGATGTTTTGTATGTTATATTGTTTTCCTATCCTTCTATTTTTTTCCGAAACGCCTCGTATGTATGGAATTGTAAGTTGTATATATTGTGTATTGTTATCTTTGTGTCTATGATTTGGGGTTTGTATTTCGTTTGATGTTTTGTCAATAAATAACATAAGATTGGATAGTCGTTTTTTTATTAATGCATTTTTTTTATGTGGTTTATATCTTTGTTTAGTGAAATGTCATCTGTACATATTATTTTAAATATAAAAAAAAACTTTTTATAACACCTTTTTTACACTTATACTGTGATTAGATATGAAATTTAAGTATCTAATTAGATGTGTAAAATATGTAAAAATTAAAAAAAAAACGATTAAAAAAGTCGCCGTGACTAGGATTCGAACCTGTCTTACCACTTACTACAGCTCCAACGTCATAGCAGCGTAAAGTCCTAACGCTTTAACAACGCGGTCACCGAGGACTTGAAAGATTCTATGTAAAATTCTTACTTAAAAGATAAAGTTTAGTGAAAGTATTTTTTTATTTATAAACATTTATTTAATTCTGTTTTTTTAATTATTTTGGTTTAATCTGTGTATTTAAAATTTCAACTGTCTAGCTATAACGGTTCATAAGACAGACCTTTGTGATAGACGGACGAACAGCGACGTCTTAGTAATAGGGTTCCCGTTTTTTACACTTTGGGTACGGAATCCTAATAAAAAGTAATACTTTGTAAGTAAATACCGAGCAACAACAGGTACCTACACTCGTTGGCTTTGACACTTAATATCAGTTTAATAATATATTTTCGTACTATGTGCTTAGGCGCAAAAGTATCAAATGACGTTTTTATATTGTCAATCCTGTCACAAAAATTAATACATTTGTGGCGTTTGAAAAAAAATCGGTTAATACTATATTCCTTCATATACAGTGTGACCCACTCAAGACCGGGCACCCTCCATAAAATCTGTGTTTATAGTCCGATTTTGATGATTTTTTTTCAAATATAAAGTTTTAAAAAATGTACTTTAGGGCTCAATGTCATGTTATTTCACAAAAAACAAGGCCTACTTAATAAAGTTTTGTGGTGAAAAATTTGCAAAATCATATTAGCGATTTTTTTCAAAAAATTTGAGTACACCCTACATTCGGCATCCCCCAAAACAGTTCTGTACCAAATTTCGTTTCAAATATTAATTATTAATAATTCACGGTTAAATTAAAAAAATAATTCCCTAACGCATGTTAACGATGAGTTATCAAGTAACCCTTGAAAAAAAGAATCCCACGACAACGAGGTTTATTACAAACAATGATAAAAAATACTACAAGCAACACAATAACCGAATAATAAGTTAAACATATTCAAATAATTTACATTGCTTCCACCAGCCCTCCATTCAGTTCAATACATTTGTCGCATATTTTTCTTAGATTAACAGTTACATCCCTAAGCTGCTGTGGTGTAATATTTGCAGAAGCCTCTGTAATTCTAATACGTAATTCATCTATAGATTGAGGTCTAGACTTGTAAACTTGTTGCTTTAAAAAACCCCAAAGAAAGAAATCAAGGGGTGTTAGGTCCAGGGATCTCGGTGGCCCTCAATTAGCGGGCTATTTCGACCTATCCACTTATTTTCAAAATTTTCATTTAACCATTCACTGACAACTGCCGCGTTATGCACAGGTGATCCGTCCAATTGAAATTTTAAATTCAAACGGGTTTGGCATGGTAAATTATGTATTGCATCCCAGAAGTCATTAATCAGAAAATTCAAAAACGTTGGACTATTAGAATTTCTCAAAAAAATATGGACCAATGATTCTATCATCAAGTATGCCACACCACACATTTATTTTCTGAGAATACTGTCTTCTTGTATTGATTACCCATTCAGGGTTTTCGACTGCCCAGAATCACGAATTTTGAGAGGATACTACTCCTTTAGTACTAAATGTTGCCTCATCACTAAATAAAATTTCAGAAATTTCTATTAACATTAAATGCTCTGCTTGAGGCCATTAGCAGAATTCTAATCGTCTAACATCATCTCCATTTTCCAAAGTGTGTAAAATCTTTGGTTAAGGTTTTAACATTAGTTCGCAAACATCTCCTAATATTTTTCCTTGGTATATCCAAATCAACACTGGCGCCTCTAATGCTTGCACGAGTTGTTAGAAAATATTCTAACCTTGCTCATTCCGCCTATTTATTCTATGTTCCGGCCTTCTGTTTTTATTAAGTATTTTGACACACAACCAGTTTCATTAAAACCTCTATTTATTCGTTGAACCGTGCTTCTACTTACTGCAGGTCTGTCGGGATGTCTGTTGTTAAATTCTCTGACAGCTTCTCCTGCTTGAAGATAGTTATCACCCACTAAATGAATAATTTCAATTTTATCCCTAATATTTAATTGTTCCATAATGCAAATAATATTTCTTGATACAACACTTTTCTGCGTGCTATTAAATTAACCTTCAATTCTACGCTGCAGAATTGACAACTAATAAAACATTGTGGATTGTTTTTTTCAAGGGTTACGTGATAACTCATCGTTAAATTAGCAAAAATAGGGAATTATTTAATTTAACTGGGAATTATTAATAATTAATATTTTTAAACGAAATTTGGTACAGAACTGTTTTTGGGGATGCCGAATGTAGGGGTGCTCAATTTTTTGAAAAAAATCGCTAATATGATTTTGCAAATTTTTCACCACAAAAACTTTATTAAGTAGGCCTAGTTTTTTGTGAAATAACATGACATTGAGCCCTATAGTACATTTTTTGAAACCTTATATTTGAAAAAAAAATCATCAAAATCGGACTATAAACACAGATTTTATGGAGGGTGCCCGGTCTTGAGTGGGTCACACTGTATATACTATATTTCTTCTTCTATATTTCCTTCAGCCTTTTAATTCAAAAACCTTGAAAACTTAAAATCAAGTATAGTTCTTCCGAAGTCAATGAGGAAGATGCATATAATTTATTTTTCACCAGAAACTGTTCAATTTATTAGAATAAATATGTATAAATGCAAAAAAAAACTTTTTTCTTGAAAGCAGTACCACAATTTTATAAAACGGGCCATTAAAATACTATGGATACCGCAAACGACGCCTCGCGAATTGAAACGATATTCTATTGGTCTGACGTCGCCCGCCGTTCTCGTCGACGCGCGATGTCCAGCAACAGCCAGACGTGTTCCGTTTATGTACGTATTTGGGTGGCGACTACTGAACATTTTTGTTGCTGGCGTTGATTGAAGGCTTTTATGCTTTTGTGCAGTTATTATTTGTATGTGTTGTGTGTTCTGAGAATTTTTTAAGTAATGACAGATTCAGGGTTTGTAAAAGCACAATCAGATAACTTGCCAAAAGTCGATGCTTTATGTTGGCTGCTTTTTAAAACAAATTCCCCATTTTTTGGTGCTGAATTACGAGGAAAAAAACAGAAAGGTATGTAACATTTATTCTTTGTAGTACTGAGGCATATTTGAGTATAAGTAAGGTGCCTACTGTTACGAACTTTTTATATAGTTATAAATTATTATAAACTAATTTTCAGATCAGGTAGGGAGACATATGGAGATAATGCTGTAGGTTATGTAGAAGTAAAAAGAGACAAAAATATTTGTTTAGTACGTGGAAAAATAACTCCAGAGCATAGCGTGAAAAAGAAAATTTTTTTTTTTTTTATATATTGGCACCTCCTTACCCTTGTTATTTTTAAAGATTGTTTTTTATTTTTTTTTTTTTTTTTTTTTTTTTGTTTAAAAATATTATACAAAGGTTACATAAGCAAGCGCCAAAATTAAGTTACTTTTTTAAATTAGAGGAAACACCCTATATATTTTTGGATTCTTCGGAAATTTCTAGATATTCTAGATATATTTCATGTATAATATCCTATACCTATCTTTAAATGTTTACGAAATATTGACAGTCGAAAAGCGAAAAATACCTGCAATTTTCTGGACCACCTTTTTGAGACACCCTGTAGCAACTAGAATTAATTTTAAAAGAGAGTATATGAAAAACCATGCAACTTTTTTATTTAATGTTTTCTTCTAAAACTTGCAGTTAAGGCTGTAAGGGTGTCAAAATATAATGAATAACCCTGTACATTCAAATTTCATACCTATGTAAAACAATATACATAAATATATGAACTTACATCAAAATGATCTTCACAACAATAAATCGTAAAAATAGAGGATAATTTAACGTTTTTCTTTTCATCTCTTCTCATGGCCTTGGATCATTTTTTCTGTTTCGCTCATCATTACTATTTATAAATATCACTAATTACTAATTATGTATTAATTAACACAAATAACTAAAATTTCGACTCGGATTCAACAGCGTTTAAAAGCAAACTGTGTAAAATAAACACGCGTCTGGCTCCACGCAACCAGAAGAACGGCAGGTGACGTCACAGCGGCAAGGCGCGGTAGGAAACGTTGCCCATTCAATTACAATATTTATTATTTATATTAGAACGTTTCTTAACCGATATCAACGATTTTTTGTTCAATTTGTAGTATATGAACTATTTTTCATTCTTTAACCGTATTTTTCCTCATTGGAGTATATTATGACTCTTAATTTCAGCACTGTCTTAGCAAACCCAGTATTTCCAACTGACTCCGTAAATTCTAAAAATCATCAGATTTGTAATATTGTGACTACCTTGTTTGAGTAGATCTTAATCTCTGTTGAGCTATGGGCGCGTTTCTGTACGCCACTGGGTACATTCCTGGCGGTAAGTGACTGACAGGGCCGTACTGCCACTGCTGCGGGGGTTGCCTGGGTAATGTGCAGGAGGTGTTGTAAGGTCCCATCATTTGAGCTGGACCAGGTAACTAAATAAAAAAAACAATTCAATGCATATTTTTTAATTTTAAAAATATTGTTTTATGCTGTCCTGTCCTATATATTTCCTATTATATTATATACAATGTCAGTCTAAAATAAGAGCAAATCTTGACTGGCAGCTATAGATAAAAGACTTATACTATTAAATAGATAGGCAACTTATAATACATTTCAGTTTTATTATACAAGGGCGCCTCTGGTAGTCGGAGGAAGAAATACAAATGGAGGGGAGGGGTGCGGGGAAGGGAGGTTGTTTTAGTTAATTTAAAATAAATTTAGACATACATGTAAGGACACTTTGTGTGCTTTTAATTAGGTCGAACACATTATAAACGATAAATCAACTGAATTAAAAGCATATACAAAGTGTTCTTATATGTCAGATATTAATTAAAAAATATATTAAAATACTAGAAATAGTATATATTAAGTTGTTACAGTTATAATTTAATCTTTGGCGGTTTTCAGCAAATAGCAGGCAGTTTACATAATTTTCCTCCCTTTGAAGTTAATTGGAAACGGCTATATAATTTTAGTGTAGGCAAGAATCCCAGTTTGTTTCCGTTTGGGACCTGAAATAATAAAACAAATTAAATCAGATGTAATCATCTGCTGATCATGCTAATATAAAACGCGCGTCCTTAATTCCTTACATGCACCGTAAAAATTAAATAACTCCTCTGCAAGTAGCATTTATTAGCAGTACTAATTTAAAAATCTATAACTGTAAGACTGTAAGTAGATATGTTTGAATTTACTTACCATTGTATCCTTTGGAAACCAGGTGTACAACAATTAAACTCCGCTGACAAAAAATAATTAGAGTTATTACAAACACAATTATCACATTTTTAAAAACATTTGTCACAAACAGAATACTGGCAAAAAATCTGAAGGAATTTCATTTTACAATAATTCGACAAATCAAAACGAAATCAAACCTTAAAATCACAACAAAAGCATCTCTAGATGACAGTTAAAAATCAAATTTTTTTATTGTCAGATATTGACATTTGCATTATTAATAATTGACGGTTACAATATTTTGCGCCTCTGCATCTTGGAGGAAAAACTATTTTTTAATGAACTGTCATTTCCATTTAAGTTTCCCAGCCATGGCTGGCAGATCTGGTTTTATTTCTCGTACGTTTAATCTATTATCTATACAGGCTTGTTCACCACATACGACACGGACCATTGTAGCTAAATGATTAGATTTTTACAAATTGTAAGTTTTGGGTTCGTTGAAGGATATTAAGTTTCAATTTAAAAATATTTTACAAAGATACAGAGTATCTCCTAAATAAGTAAAAAAATATTATAGTTGTATTTTTTTAAATGCGATTTTCCCTGTATATTATTCTATTTTAGGATTCTACGATCGAAATAAAGGTAAATTTGATTAAGGTTTATCACACTTAAACCTGTTTTTAAAATAACAATTTATGAAATTGCAGTAAAAATTTTAAAGACTTCATTTCTCCAAGGGTATAGAAGTTTTTAATACTATATTTACTGAAGATTATTTATTGATCAGATGTTATTGTTGCAATAAAGAGAGAGAATTGTCAAAAATTAACGTAATTCTCGATTATAGGAACATTTATTTCATATAGGGTTTTTATTATTTTTAATCATTTTTTTTTTTTTTTTTTTTTTTTTTTTTTTTTTTTTTTTTTTTTTTTTTTATATAAAAAAACCTGTCCCTAAGGAAGAAGTCATTTAATAAATATAAAAGTTTAATACGAATATTTTTAATTTAATTAAGCAACACTAAAATAAGAGAAAATTAACCCCGCTATGATACGGAAGCGTTCAGCGTGTCTTGCAAACGCGGAAAAGACAGTGTTTGTTGTCCTTCTCGGCAAGAGTCGTCAAGGGAATCGGACCGTTACGGACAAGAGACCCTAATCTATCGCTCGTGTCGACTCGTTATAACCACACCTCAAACAATAACAAACAATAACAAGACAGTGTCTGACCGCATGTTCCAGCTATTATGAATGAGATGCTCAGTCTATATTTTATTTTAAGTCTATGGTCCCAATGACAGTAAAAAATATTAATAGTTGTTTTTTTAAATGGAAAACACCTGTATATTATTCTTTTTGGGATTCTACTATCGAAATAAAGGTAAATTTGATTTAAAGTTTTATCACACTTAAACCTTACTGTTTTCGAAATATCTTTCCAATTTTATGAATTGCAGTAAAAATTTTAGGCTTCATTTCTCCAAGGGATGAAAGTTTTTTAATACTAAATATTTACTGAAGAATTTATTTATGATGCAGATATTGCTGGTTGCGAGAGTTAAACTAATATATACAGAGTGTAAAAAAATTTTATTTAACTCAATTACTTAATAATAACAAATAAATATATATAGATATTGATATATATAATAAAAGATATAAATTTCGTGAATCAGATGCACAATTTAATTGTCTATCAAATTGTGTTATACCATTTTTTACCCATTCTTTTCATACTTTAATCATCGTCTTTATAGAAAATGAATTTTCTTATAATTTAGACCTCATTTATCACTATACCCATGGAATATTGATATTTTGAATTTTTGAAATTTCCAAAAAAATTTTAAAAAATTACAAATTTACAAATTTTTTTTCACTACCTCTAAAAATATTTGCATTTATTTAAGGCTCACCCTGTATAATACAGTATCAGAGACGGTAAGTTCGGTGCTTATAGCCACGCGAGCTTAGATAAACTAACCATAATATATACTGAATGACAAAAAAGAATAACACCTATATTATATTTGTCATAATTCAATAAACTTGAATAAAAAGCGATTAAATTAACATAAAACATAATTTTGGTCCCTCAATCAAAGACAATCCAATATTATGGTCCTTTGAGTCAAAATTTAAAAAAAATTGATCCTGCAAGAAAACATTAAAAAAATGTTGGTTCTTCGAGACAAATTTATTATATTATGGTGTTTGGTTTCAGTTTTTTTTCCTATCAAGAATTTTAATCTTTTGAGGAGAAAAAAAAAAACAGTGAATCACTTAAAAAGTTGAACCCAAAGCAATTGGAGATAAAGAGTTTTGTTTAGAAAGTAATAGACTAGCCTTAAGCCAGATAAACCGCCGAAGTCCTTTTAGGTATATTGATTTCAAGTCTGTCATGAATCGTTTTTTGTCTACATACATGGTGTTTCAGAAAACATGGCCTACACACTTTTGCTATATAAGAACAAAAAAGTCCACATGTTTGGTGAGTTTTTTTAAGGAAAATATTCCAGTTATATCTCATATGCACGTCTCTGGCGAATCTGTAGATAATTTTTATCATTAAAATATGTAGCAGTTATAGTAACTTTTACCCTTATTGGAGAAAATCATCTAAAGGTTAAACCACTGCATGATAGTCAGCATGCATATAGAACGGGCAGATCCACAGAAACTGCTCTGTACCAATTAACGGAGCTAATACAGACAAGTCTGGATAGCAAAGAAACAGCAATTTGTGCCTTCTTGGCTATTGCGGGGGCGTTTGACAATATACCACATAAGGCGGTCAGGCGATCTCTAGAAACAAGAGGGGTGAACAGAACTATTATTCGCTGGTTTTGGGAAATGCTGTCAACACGAACAGCAGAGGCTCAGATGGGCACTAAAACTGTAGCTGTTAAAACAACGCAAGGAACTCCACAAGGTGGAGTAACCTCCCCTTTGCTGTGGAGCTTGGTGGTGGATGAACTACTAGACGAATTAACTCTAGCGGGAATACACTGCATTGGGTATGCAGAAGACATAGTCATGATCGCTCGGGGGAAACATGAAGGCACCTTGTGTGATATTATCCAAAGAGGACTCCGTATCACTGAGAGATGGTGTAGAACTGTCGGGCTGAGTATCAACTCAGACAAAACCGCGATAGTGCCATTCACCAGAAAGCGAAGTCTGAAAAACTTGAAAAGAATCCAACTAGATGGAAAGGAAATACTGCCAACACAGGAAGTTAAATACCTGGGAATAACCCTGGACAGTAAACTCCTGTGGAACAGGCATATTAAGAACACTACCAGCAAAGCCATAAAGGCTCTCATGATATGCAGAAGACTGGCCGGAAATAGATGGGGCTGTTTCCCTAATATTTTGGGCTGGATGTATACCATGATAGTAAGACCCATGATTACTTATGGAGCAGTTGCCTGGTACACAAAACTAGAGCAACGGACGGCAAGGCTAAACCTATGCAAAGTCCAGAGACTAGCATGCGTTTGCATCACAGGAGCCATGAGAACCTGTCCAACAGCAGCAATGCAGGTCATTCTAGATCTAACACCACTGCACATTGTCATTGGTAGATATGCCAATGCGACATTGATTAGAATGGTCACTAACGGAATTAGTACTGGGAGAATTGTCAGATCAGGGGCTTGGAACACCCTCATAAAGGAAATACCACTCCTGCAACTCCCAGTGGACGATATGCTAAGAACGTACAACTTTGAGAAACATCTCCATGTAGTATTGAGCAATAAAAAGGATTGGAAGAGCGAAACGCTTGCCCAGCAGTTAAAAGACCATACCATAACTTGGTATACTGATGCTTCCAAAACCAATACGGGAACAGGGATCGGAGTGTTTGGGCCGAGAGCTAAATACTCCGAACCAATCGGCACTTACCCTAGTATCCTACAGGCAGAAATCTACGCTATCGAAAGATGCGTACAATTTATCTTAGATAGGAACTATCGGAAACAAGAAATAGCCATCTTGTCTGATAGTCAAGCAGCGTTAAAAGCGATCAACTCAGTATCAATCAATTCGAAATTGGTTAAAGAATGCATAGAGAAGCTGAATAAATTAGGCAAAGAAAACAAAGTCCTCCTACTCTGGGTGCCTGCTTACCAAGGGATAGAAGGCAATGAAAAAGCAAATAATCTAGCTAGGAAAAGAGCGAACACTCCACTAACTGGACCAGAACCGTTCTGCTTTCCAAGTGGTAACCA